AATGATAAAAGATTATATTTAAGACTTGTCACGTGGCGAGTTTTGAGTGGATTATAGTGCCACTCAGCGAAGTCTAATGGCAAGCCAAGCCCCACACAAATTTTTATCCTAGCGTAGAAGCCCTTCTAGCCTTGAGTTACGGGTGACGAATATGGACAATTTTTAAAACAATTTGCAGTAGACTTCGACAACCCAACCTACTAAAACGACTTTGAATTCATAGGGAGTACTCAACATTCAAAATGTCTTCACAACCAACAAAGAATAATCAACGTAGTAATAAGTCACAATCTCTAGAATATTCTCTAGTACCTTAAGGTCAAGGAAATTAATCAAATGATGTACCTACAAACAAAATCAATTTTTTAAGTTAAAATTGTCTTTGAGATTGATATAACTCTTTGCTTTAGTCCCTAAGAATGAAAATTGATAGAAGTGATCCCTAAGTTTGCCCACCGTAAAGTCATTCCGTGAAAAATATGTCAATATCCTCTTTAAGTCAAGTGATCACTGCTTAAGAGTAATTTTGTCAAACCAACCCCTCCTCTTAACAAAGATATTGACAAGTCTTCGCAAAATGACCAAAATGATTTACGGTGGACAAACTCAGGGGCCTTTTCTATCAGTTTTCATTGTCATGGACCAAAGTGAGGAATTATGCCAATTTCAAAACCATTTTGACTAAAAAGCTAACAAAATCCCACATTGAGTATGTATGGTAATGAACTAAGAACAAAAGTTAAGTAAAATATATAATTTTTTTATTTTTTATCAAACGATTAATATATATATATTAGGATTAAGTACCTAAAACTCTCCAACCTTTTAGTCATTCTACATTAGTCTTAACCTTTTTAAATATTCCAAACAAATACTCAACCTATTGGAACTGTGACATCCGTTAAGTCCCGTTAATTTTTCCGGCACATGTAGCAACAATGGATCCCACTTGTTTGCTTACTTGTACACTAAAATTATAATAAAAATAACTTTAGAGAAGACAGAAGATGAAAAAATAAAAATAAATAAACAATTCATGAATAAAATGTAAAATAAAAATGAAGATCAGGAAATCTCCTAACAAAGAAGAGGGTAAATAATTCAAATAGTGTTTCAAGTAGCTTGTTTCTACTCACGTGATTTCCTCATTCGCCAATTTTTGGCTAGTAAAGGTTCCAATTCTTTTTTGTGGGCGGTGAAGAAGGTGGTGGCCGTATCAAGACAATCCATACTATTGGAACCAAATTCGTGCACCGCCGTATGAGGTGGAGATGCATAAATCCAAGTAACCTGTAAAAGACCAAATAGACGTAAACAAGTGAAAGACATGGCGGGGTGTGCCAGTCAAAGGCTCTCTGATGGTCAAGTTAGTAAGCAATATAATACTCAAGTAGAGAATAAGTATGAGAGAATTGTGTTACTAAAGATGACCCCTAGAAGGTGTATTTATACCAGCCAAAGAGATGACCTTTTAGGATAGCAGAATCCTTATTAAAACGGGAAAATCCCAAAGGATATTTAGGAAGTAGATATTGCATTACACTCCAATTTTTAGATTGTAAGAACTCCAAGATTATAAGAAACCTACTGATTCCTTGCTGAATTTGGTTTCCATATCTTTGTGGAACAAGTATGGTTAATCTCCGCGAAGTCGTCGAAAATCACCCACCGATTCCAAAATAGGATGATAATGGCATCACTGTTCCATTTATCTAGCTCTACATCAGAGGCTGTTGAGTCTATGACCATACTTCTAAGTGCATATTCTGATTCATCTTACTTTAGCCCTGAAAAATCATGGTCTTACAATTGGTCCTAACTATGTAACTGAAATGACTTGTTCCCCTTGAGGACAGATAATTATCCAGGGACCATGTTTTTAGGAGTAAGTCGAAAGATGTACTGTTTTAATTCTTATGCCGTAAGGCATCTTAGCCTCGAATCTTGTGGACTTTTGATGCTTCGAATTCAGACGTACAGCCTCAAGAATCGTAGATTTTAGGTAGCAATGATGAAAGATGCCATTTTGCTTGTGCACATTTAACAAAAGGGCAGCCATTTGCATTACAAATCTACTTCAGCCTTTGGACACATGAATACCTAGGCAAGTCTCTTCAAATTCGACAGTGATGATCTTTTGATAGCTTCTTTTTACATAGTTTAGCCTTGGCTTTGCTTTTCTGTCAAAGCCCATTGTTAAGAGTTCTTAGCTTCGCCATGAACCCTCTTAGTTCTTTCATGTTTTTTCTTTGAAACCCTATTTCCACTTTGAGCCTTTGACGAATAGGATATGTAATCAAGAAACTTTCCACATCCATATTCTTCTTTACCAAGCAAAATCAAGCAAAATAAGGATGATCCATAACCTTTCAACAGCTAATGTTGCTTTCTTCAACAGATTTACTAGGCTCTATACTTTGCTCCATAACGATTGGCAACATTCTCTTCGCAGTCTTAGCATACATGTTCAACTTGAGGAAAGCGTTAAAATCCTTCACTGGGTTGTTCTTCATTAGAGCCCTCTTCAATCGGCCTGACGACAAATTGAACCTCATCAGAGTTGATGACCCTGGTCGAGTCAATCCTGCAATATCATTAGGAAAATTTGTGTGCTAGGGATGAGGGTTAGTCTCCCTCAAAAAATTTGTACTCCATTTACCCTGTTCATAGGACTTATGATAATAAACATATGCTTACATGTTTATGAGAATTGTTACTTTATTCAAGTTGTTAATCAAGTTACATTTTGTTCCTTGATGCGAAATATATAAGCACACAAATTAAAACCCTCTTTTGACAATTGTAGTATATGTATAAGTAGGGATCGTTCTAAATCGGGGATTAGAAGGGATTGCAAAATCACTTGAAAACTGACTCAAAAACGTAAAACAAAGGTTAAAAACACTAAACTAGACTCAAAGAATGCAAAACTAACCACTAAAACACTAAAACAAACCAAAAGACTCAAAATAGCAACAAAACACTCAAAACTGCCTTAAAGACACAATCTGGGCAGTTTTGAACACCTAACCTAATTTGGACGAATTTGGGTTATAACTTGAATCAAAACATTTAGAAACACAAACTAAGACACTTTCGAACTAAATTGAACACTAAAGTAAAGGGGGATTTAGTTTTGACGAAATTAAAACAAAGAGCACAAATTGTAATTAAAACAGATTGTAAATACGAATTTGATGAAAATATGGATGGAATGCTAGCTAGAAGGTTCTTCTCCACACATGTCACACTTGCATACAAGATGATTTTCAGTTGGTCTTTCGATGAATCATGAAACTCAACACCCCGGGTTAATAAGGTTTGCTTAAATTAACCTTCAAGTTCCCCTTAAGTTAATGAATTGGATGGGACAGCGCATACAACAATTCAAAACATTCTCCAAAAGTCCTTTACGTGAAAAGCACAATAAAGATACAATCAACGATCATTAAGCAACATGAAAACTATAAGTGTTGACAAGGCATTCGTTACTATGATGAGCATGAAACTAGTGCCAAGAATTCATTTAACGCGATCGTTTATAAGCGACCTCCACTACTTGTGAATATAAGTTTGTAACTATTAGGTGAAACTCACTTATATTCTAGCATCATATTCATGCATGAAAACTAAGCGTGCACTCTCAATAAACATACACAAATAAGTTATCAATCAAGTAGTTGAACAAATTGAATCTACAACTCATGAAATTCCAACTGAAGGTAATCAATTTATATTGTAAGCATAAACATGGTTTTGAATCACCCCCTAGTTAACTAGGGATTTAGCCTCTCATGTTCACAGGAAGAGAAACAAAATTGAAATTAAACATAGAGAGCAAAAGATTGATTACACCTAAAACACCCAACAATTCCACTTTGAATTTCTGCACATCAAGCTCCTCTTTCTTCTTCTCCTTGCTGCGGCAGAGAGGTTTTGGGGGTTTTTGGATGTGGTTTTGGTTTAGGAAGGGAGTTAGGATGATATGGTGGTGCGGCAAGGGGTGTGGGTGGTGTATGGAGGTGTAGAATGGTGGTTGGAGTAGAGGAATGGTTGCGGCAGAGATGGGAGGTTGCTGGAATGGATGGAGAAATGGCGGATTGAAGGTATTAGGGTGATGGTGGCTGCGGCAAGGGAGTGGGAAGTGGCTGAATGATTAATAGAATAAAGCTAGGGTGCGGCTAGGCTTAGAATATATAGGGTTTCAGAAATTAAAACCCTAGCTTATTTTGGTTAACTAAAATTAAGTCAAAGGCTTCTAGAATTAGGAAATTAAATCAAAAATTAAAAAGGGAATTGGCTGCAATGTGCGGCTAGGGTTTTATTTAGAAAGGGACATGTGTTTAAGTGCATAAAATAGGACATAATTGCCCCCCTTGCACGGCAAGGGATGGGGAGAAGGGGAAAGGTGCGGCAAAGGTTTAGTGGTGGTCTAGGGCCTTTGTTTTGTGTCCTAAAGTGCATACAAGGCCTTCAAAGTGGCTGGAAAATAAGGACTTTCAAGATTAGGAAAGGTTACCAAAATGGGAAACCTAGGCTTAACTTTCCTACTTCAAGTAGGAATCCTTGTTGGAGTAGGAATCCATCTTCAATTAGGAATTCATATTTCTTCAAGTCTTCAACTCCTTCATTCCTCTTTTGCTTCAAAAGACTCCAATTTGCATCTTCTTGCACACTTTGGCCTTATAATCTGAAAACACACAAAAGTGACTTTAAACACTGAAATAACTAAGGAAACCTAACATAAATGCACGAGAACAAGCCAATTAAGTCGCATAAATATGCTCCTATCATTTCTTAAAATATTGTATTCTATTTCTCAGACTTATGAAATGACTATTTTTTCCTTGAATGGGTGTCTTAATTAATTTTCGAGACTCAACTCAAAATCTATTTTCTTATACTTTCTTGGGCTTTCCCAATCATATTCATGTATGTGAATATAACGTTGACAATTTGGTAATTTCACTTAAAATATTTAAGTGGGATCAACCCCTCTCTCTCTCTCTCACTTCTGCAAAGTCTCTCTCACACTAACTCTCGAGCTCTCGAGTTCTCTCTCAAGCCCGAGAGTCTCAAACCTCACTACCACCTAAAGTTCTTCAAAAATCAAACCCCGAACCTATATTTTCGAGATTAATGGAACTCAGGGAACTTGGTGATGATCTTGCATGCACCATCAGTGCACCATGAGGTGCAGTTCCATTGAAATCCGAGAGCTCCGAGCTCTAACCTTAAACTCAGGTGAAGTTCTTTGTTGTCTTTTGAATTTCTGGGTTTCTATCTTAATTAGGGATAAATTTTTGTTGGTTTGGCCTTAAATTCGAGGGTTTTAACCTTTGTAAATCATCTGGCATGCAAATCTGCCTCTGGCAGCGAATTCTGGCAATTTCCGTTGAATTCAAGAGAAAGAGGACGAACTTCGGCGAGTTTAAGGTCCATTTCTTCCCAAAACTTGCTGCAATGCATCTGGGTGAGTTCCCGAAGTTAATTGAGAGGTTTTTAAAATGAATTTCATGTTGGCAACCTCTGCTTTGATGCATGAATGCTTCCTGTTTTTCCTGCAGTTTCCAACGACATTTTTTTTGAGCAATAAACGTCGAATCCGAACTGGATTTGACCTCTCCTTCTCCTAAACCAGTTTTAGGTGAGTTCCTAATCATCTGAGATCAATTTTAACCATGTTTTAGGTTGAAAATTATCGAATTTGTAGCTAGAACTAAGATTAGCCGTCATCTGGGCTTTCTGCAGATTCCAGCACCGGCGAACGGCGGAGGTCATTAGTTTTGACGGAGGCGTCGACGGTTCCTCAAAAGAACAGTAGTGTGATGGAATTGTCTATATTATTATTTTCACAGAACTAGGGTTACAGCTTTATACACATATTACATATCACGATCCTATTCTACTGCCTACAATCAAGGCTAACAGGGAGCCAAATAAGAAAGTAAATAACTAATATTATTTTACAATATTTGACCGAATCAATCCTTATCAATCAGAGATCTCTTTCTTAACACTCCCCCTCAAGTTGGAGTGTATGTTGATGACACCCAACTTGCCAAGTAAGGTCTCAAACTGTGTTGAACCCAGTGGTTTGGTGAACAAATCTGCTGGTTGATTTGTTGTTCGTATGTATGCTGTTCGCACCATCCCTTCTTGAATTTTCTCGCGTACTAGGTGGCAGTCTATTTCTATATGCTTCGTTCGTTCATGAAATACTGGATTTGAAGCAATGTGCATGGTGGCTTGATTGTCACAAAACAATGTAACAGGTTGTGTATGACTCACTCGCAAGTCCTTCAAAATATTCTTGAGCCATGTGACTTCGCAACAGGTAGTGGCCATGGATCGATATTCTGCCTCTGCACTAGAACGAGATACAGTGCTTTGTTTCTTCGTCTTCCAAGAGATAGGTGCTTGTCCAAGAAAGATACAATAACCAGTTACCGATCTTCTTGTGTCTTTACAACGAGCCCAATCAGCATCACAAAAAGCTTGCAATTGCAATGAACCTGTAGTGGGTAAGAAAATTCCTGTCCAGGAGTCTGTTTAATGTATCTGAGGACTTTATGTGCTGCTTCAAGGTGTGGTTGTCGTGGCTTATCCATGAATTGACTCAACACATGAACCACATAGGTTAGGTCCGGCCTTGTAATTGTTAAATAAATTAACCTGCCCACGAGCCGTCTATATGAAGATGGATTACTCAACAGTGTCCCATTTGTTTTCGTGAGAGACAAATTTTGTTCCATAGGAAACCGTGAGGGTTTTGATCCAAGGAAACCAGCATCGTCTAAGATTTCTAACGCATACTTGCGTTGACATAAAGTAATTCCCTTGCTGGATCTTGCAACTTCTATTCCCAGAAAATATTTGAGCTGTCCCAAATCCTTCAGTTTAAATTGTTGGGAAAGAAAGTGTTTAGTCTCTTCAATCTCTTGTAGGTTATTTCCTGCAAGTATTACATCATCAACGTAGACTAGTAATGCCATAAAACTACCTTGACGACTTCGGACGAACAGTGAGTAATCAGACCACGATTGATGAAAACTAGCGGCTTTGAGGGCATTAGATAACTTAATAAACCATTGTCTCGAGGCCTGTTTTAAACCATAAAGTGATTTGTTGAGTTTGCATACATGAGTCTCCCCCTTTCGTCCGAACCCAGGAAGCAAGGTCATGTAGACATCTTCGTACAAATCACCATTCAGAAATGCATTGTTCACGTCTAGTTGGTGGAGATGCCAACCGCGAAGTGCAGCAACGCTCAGAAGGACACGGACAGTGGTGAGCTTGGCAACGGGAGCAAATGTTTCCCGATAGTCAACCCCCTCTATCTGACTATAACCTTTCGCAACAAGGCGAGCTTTGTAGCGTTCGACACTCCCATCAGGTGTGAGCTTCACTTTGTACACCCATTTACAGCCAATGGGACGCTTGTGAGTTGGCAAGGGTACAAGAGTCCAGGTATGATTTGCCTGGAGCGCTGCGATCTCAAGTTGCATGGCATCACGCCATTTGGAGTCCTGAACAGCCTGTGAAAAACTAGTGGGTTCCTTGATAAGGGTGAGATTAGTGGTAAAGGTTTTGTGTTTATGAGAGAGATGGTCATAAGATAAATAATGGGAGAGGGAATGGGAAGTACTTGACGATTGAACCATGCTCGTGGAAGAGTTGGGAACAACGCGGGAGGGGAGGGTTTCTTCCACGTGAAAATCCTGCAAAAAAATGGAAGGTTTGGTGGGACGCATGCTGCGTCGAGGTGGAGTAGGGACACGGGAAGGAGAGGACGGTAAGGTGGATGGGATGGATGAAGGAGGTGAGGGTAGGACTGGGATTGGGAGTGGGGAAGTGGGTGATGGGAAGTCTGGTATTGGGGTTGGTGAAATAGAAGTCAAAGTGGGAGAATAGGGTGCACGTGAGTAGGATGAGTGAATATCATTAATGGGTGGAGTAGAATCTGGAGGTGGGGGGTTGAAATCAGGAGGGTTGTCCCCTGATGTGTCGAGAAAAGGTGGGGTAGGTGCATGAAAAGAAGCCAGGTGTGATGGTAGCATGGAAGTGGGAGTAGGTGACAAGGTGAGGTGGTGGTCAGCGGAATTTTCAGGATTTTGATAAGGAAATTGATCTTCAAAGAATAGGACATCCCGTGAAACAAAGACTTTCCTCAGAGTGAGATCAAACAGTCGATAACCCTTTTGTCCATAAGGGTATCCAAGAAAGATACAACGTGTTGCACGGGGGTCAAATTTAGAAGGTCGTTGTGCGTGTGTGGAAGCAAAACACAAGCTGCCAAAAACTCTTAAATGAGAATAGTTAGGTTCCTTATGAAATAATTTTTCATAAGGTGTTTTACCTTGGAGAAGTGGAGTGGGGGTACGATTGATGAGGTAAGCTGAAGCAAGTATTGCATCCCCCCGAAAATATTTTGGCAGACAAGCTTGAAAAAGTAATGCCCTAGCTACATTGAGCAAGTGTCGATGCTTGCGTTCAGCGACACCATTTTGTTGTGGTGTGTTGACATAACTAGACTGATGAATAATCCATTTGAGAGCATAAAATCTCTCAAGTTTAAATTCAGGACCATTGTCACTTCTAATTATTTTGACTTTAGTATTGAATTGAGTTTCAACCATGTGGATAAATTTGACTAAAAGATCTTTGGTGTCAGATTTATGCTTCATCAAATAGACCCATGTGGTCCTAGTATGATCATCGACAATAGTAAGGAAATATTTGGCACCTGAAATAGAAGCAACCTGATAACCACCCCAAATATCAATATGAAGTAATTCAAAAGATGATTGACTAGAAAAGGAACTCAATGGAAATGGTGATCTTGTTTGTTTAGCCAAAGGACAAATTGAACAATTATTGGTAACACAAGACTTATTAGTGAAAAAGGGAAATAACGAAGACACTTTATGAGATGGATGTCCAAGACGTTGGTGCCAAAGGTTTGGAGAAACGGTGTGGACAGTGTTGCATATTCTTTTCTTTGGTGGATCAAGGTAGTAGAGTCCCTCCCGTTCAATTCCCGTCCCAATCATCTTCCCCGAGCGTAGGTCCTGTATGACACAAAAATGTTTTAGAAAAATTGTGACATATAGGGAATCATAGGCTAGTTTACTGATGGATATCAAATTCAACCTAAAAGGTGGCACACACAAGACATTGTCAAGGAATAGATTGGGAGAGAACACTATTCGGCCAATATGAGTGACTTTGGCAAATGACCCGTTTGGTAGCTCAACAGTGTGGTTTTCAACAAGCTTTGAATTTGTAAGAAGATTGGGATTACAAACAATGTGATCCGTAGCACCACTGTCCAGGATCCAGATATTTTTCGAGCCATTATGTGTGAATGAGAAGGCTTTACCTGAAAGTTCTTCATGAGTAGAAGAATTACCAACTTGATTGACAAGAGATGACTTGTTCTTGTTGAGCATTTGAAGGATTTGCTTGCAATCCTCCTGGGAGAATGGGAAACTGGGCGTGTCCATCCTTGCATTTGTTGTTGTGACTTGGTTTCCTTTTGAAAAGAAGGAACGGTTTGACTCTCCCTCAGCAGCAGCCTTTCTTTTTCTACAGAACTCGAAGGTATGACCTTTCCACCCACAAAATGTGCACTTGAGATGCGCACGGCAATTCTTGGTGGTGTGATTATTTCTGTTACATTTTCCACATCGAGTTCCATTATCTTCTGATTCAGGTTCTCGACTCGAGTTCTTCACCGCAAAAACAGCAGCTTCTGGTTGAGTGTTCTTCCCACTGGAGACTTCTGCTTGCCGTTCATGTCGAAGGACTAAGGCATAGGCCTTATTCACCGTGGGCAGTGGGTCAAGGAGAAGGGTGTTGCTTCGAACAGTAGTATATGAATCATTCAGTCCCATAAGGAACTTCATTGTTTTCTGAGTTTCAACATATGATGTGATTTCTTTCTTTGTTTCACAATGGCATGCTGGGATTGAACACAAGACATCACGTTCATCCCACAAACTTTTAAGTTTTGTGAAATAAGAACTTACACTCATGTTACCTTGTATGCAATCATGGATTTCATTCTCTATATGAAATAGCTGAACGATATTTACGTGTGAAAATCTCTCCTGTAAATCAAGCCACATCCGTCGAGCATCCTTGCAGTTGATGACACTTGCTGAAATTTCTTTCGACATGGACCCTAGTAACCATGTCTTGACCAAGTTGTTGCAGCGGTTCCATTGTTGTAATTCTTCAGGATTGTTTGCACTCGGTTCCTTGATTGTTCCATCAACAAGTCCAAGTTTGTTCTTGACTGTTAAAGCCATGCTCATGGACTGAACCCATGTGCTATAATTATCTTCCATCAATGGCTGTGGTACAAGAATTGCACCAGGTTGGTCCGAGTGATGGAGGAAAAGTGGATGGTTGGGATTTTCCCATTGTGAATGAGAAGTTATGCCTGTATTGGTTGACTTTGATTCTGGCTTGTCACCCATGCCGTGTCAGCTAGGGTTAAGTTTGCGTTGTGTGTTTTCCCAGATCAGTGCTCTGGTACCATCAAAAGAACAGTAGTGTGATGGAATTGTCTATATTATTATTTTCACAGAACTAGGGTTACAGCTTTATACACATATTGCATATCACGATCCTATTCTACTGCCTACAATCAAGGCTAATTGGGAGCCAAATAAGAAAGTAAATAACTAATATTATTTTACAATATTTGACCGAATCAATCCTTATCAATCAGAGATCTCTTTCTTAATAGTTCCATTAGAGATAACAGACTCTACTGACGCAATAGGTATATTCAGTTTCCTTAGTTAATTCTGGCCGACGACCGACACGTTTGACTAGCGACAGTGATGTCTATTCGCTAAACCATGGCGACATGTTCGCCAGCGACACTTTCCCAGCACGTGATG